GTGCCAAATTTAATTATATATCACGACCTACAGCAACGCTAGGTGACCTGGTTAGTGTCCTTGACAGCCGTCATTTGGAACGTTTGCATGAAAATTGCTCTCCAAGAAGCCACATGAATTTCCGGTAAAAAGTAAATATGAGGACATATGCATTTTGTTGTGTGCATTTCCAGTGAAAAAGTTTGTTTTTGTTTGTGGGTTTGATTTTTCTCGAAAACGAAGCACAAACTGGCGTAAGTGGAAATTATTGACCAATCCGGGTGTGCACAGAACTATTTATCAAAACACTTGAATTTGATACACACTTATGGCTTCTGCTAAAACTGTGCACTTTTCAATACTAAAGTTTCATGTGTAACAGGAGTTTCTTGTGCCACCGGATGAGTCTGATGCTTGGTTATGTTTCCCCTGAGTATAATTTTGACAGGAAAGCAAAACGACTGTGTGAAAGTTAAAATATATTTCTTTGAACTTGAAGCCTGTTTCAGGCATTCAGATTGTGGCAAGTGTCAAGATTAAGATATTAGCAGCATGACATTTCCCCCTCCACAATTTGTGCAGGGGACTTGCCCCGGAAAAAAAAATCCTGCAGAGGTAGTGGACGTGAAAAAAAATTCTCACAAGCTGAAAAAGTCCCACTCCCCCCCCCATCACTTTTCTAATGGTCCATCCCTAAAATAGACTACGAATAGTCCCTTTTCCGCTTTAATAGTCCATTGTGCGTGATGCCAAAGAAAACCGCAAGAAAAGAATGGCCGCGCAAACTTCTAGGGGCGAGATGCACGCGCGTGTCTCGCCACCAGGATTTCACGCGGTTATTTTTTCCTCGTGGTTTATTTATGGTCTCACTCAATGTTGGACATTGGGATCCCACTGTATTCTAAATAAACACTTGCATTTACGTTCCACTGAACTACACAACCGAACAAACTTGACAGGCTACGAGGCATGGCATGTTAGTCAAATTATACTGGTTTTTATTTAACATGCAACAAAGCTGGACACTTAAACCCCTTAAAACCCACATAAGGGAAAATGGGGACCGTGTACCCCAGACCAATGCTATGGCGTCACCACTGGGGTTTTAAGGTATAAATTATGTAGAAAATAAACAACAGCAACAAGTTAATTGAAAATTAATTAACTCTGAGTTAATGCGGCTACAGTCTGGTTTACAAATTAGCTATAAAATCGGTAAATAAATAAATACAATGTAACAAACAGAAATACTAAACGCCTTTGAAAGTATTAAACGTTTTGGCAAAGTTGTTGAATTTAAATGACTTGAAACGGAAGACTTAAAATGTGCAAAAGTTAAACAAAGTTTTCGGATGGATAACTTAAGACGTTTCAGACTGCTTGAAAAAACTTAACTCAACAATAAAGCAAATACTTCAAAACTTCCCAAAGAAGTAATCAAATAGTTTCCCACATTTGCGAAAGTTGTCTGCAGAAGTAACATGTAAACAAAACACAAACCATCAACGATACTACTGCATTCATCAACGCAAACAGTACTAATCCAGACCTGCAGTTCCAGTGTACAAATCAAATAAAAATATATCGGTATCGATGTTACTGTAACACCAATGCAAAAGAGAGCGAGAAGCAAATAAAATGCGAGATTGAAAATCAGTCAATCGCCTTATCACTTCCACATCAAACTAAACACCTCACTGATACTTTATGGATGAAAATCAGTCAACCGACTTATGAGTTCCACATCGAACCAAATACGTCACTGATACCTTACGGACGAAAAACACACCGAATGTTAAAATTAACCACTTAGTTACTTACGCAAGTCCAAAGTGAACTTAACTTAAAAATCAAGCGTTGATAACAAACTGTGTTCATGGCAGAAATGCGCACTTGAACATTTTCCTGTTATTTGGATATTAGTCAATTTTACATAATCAACAGTTTCATACGAAAATTATTCCGTGAAAACAGAACAATGAAGATTAGGCGTGCACTCCTATCTCTTTTTTAACAACAAATTCCTTAGGCCCAGTTCAGACGTCGTGCTTTACCGTGCCGAACTAAATTCAGGAATTAAGTTCAACAAAAGCATGCAGAAGCACGGCATCTGAATCAAACTTTTGAATTAAGTTACTACCTGTTTTTAGCTCGATGCACATGAATAAAAATGCTTTCCTTTAGTCTTAGGTTGGGTACGTTCTTAACATATTCTTAAAACAGAGTATGCCTAATTTCATTGTTCTGTTATCACAGGGTATCAATAAGTAGATAAATTTTGGAGTTTAAAATGCAACTTAAATAACAGTACCGCTAAAACAGGTCTGACACTGCATAAAGGGTCGTTTCTTTTGTGTTTTCGTATACGTGCATGTCCTTATTCTTGACTGGAAGAGGCGGTGGCGGAGGTGATGATAAAGACGGCGTGGGTTCAGAGGCTGGAAATTGCTGTAACGGAATATGTGTGACAGTGTCTTGGTTATGAGTGGGTGGCTGGTATAGCGGGCAGATGCGACATGATAATGAATACAAAACCAAAGGCAGAAGGAAAATAAAAACTGCAAACATTAAAGAAATTCCAAGAATAAGTCCTTGCGATGTGGATTGTGGCGTGATAGTAGGCCTGGACTGCAGATGAACTGTTGAGTGCGATGAAAGAGCAGGCATGGAACTTGATGAAGAGGACGTGGAACTTGAATGCATTGAGGCAGTTGGTTTAATTAACGAGAAGGACGAATGAACATGTGGGGATGGCGGACTGAAAACAGTTGGTAGATACATAGACGACATAGGAGACAGAAGCAGAGACAGGCACAGTTTTTGAAGAAGGAGAAAGACAGAGATCGGGCGATGATGGCAGAGTTGAGCAGTTCATAGCGACTGGCCGCGGAGTTCCGAGTTTCTTGAAAAGATGGATGCACGATGACTTGACTTCTTGGCACAATTGGCGGCAGGGTTGTAAATGGTGGTGAGGCGGAAAACGAGGCGGAAAACAAAACGGAACAAATCGCGAACAAACCAAAATCCTTGAAAACGCAGAACATTGTGAAGTGAAGAGAGATCCGAAGTGTGTGATAATTCGAGCTGCATGTTTTTCTTTGAGTGCGTCCAGAGTCGTGTACTTATAAAAACCACATAGCTCCTTCACCTCGTTAATTACGGTGTTGCATGATGCAACTGGTGTAGAGGTAAAACCTAGCCTCAGCAAGGCTATCAACAAGGCTGAAAACATTTTCGCTGCTGAACACGTCGTGTCAAACTTTCGAGAACTAAGAAATGAATGAGGTTACTGTGCCATTCTCGCACCTTACTTCTGGTCGCACTTGGCAAAAAATTGTTTTGAAACTAAAAACAAAACCGGCTAACCAGGCTGAAATTCGCCATGTAATCAGGCCCTAAAATGGTGGAACATAAACTTGTATTGTTTGCGACTATCATAACTTTGTGGACGCTTTTAACTTTACTTATAATGCTAATTCGCATACTTCTGAAGTGAAAATACGTACAAGACATAAAATATGCCATATTTTCCGCTATGGTGCGAACGCGAAGCTATTTTGTCAAAAACGTTTCGTCCCGGTCACCTAGGCTGGAGTGTTCATATGAAAAAATTTTCATCCCGGTTACCAAGATCTCAGTAACCAGGCCAGCAAAGGCCTCTCATATGCACACGTCAAATTTTTTAAGAAAGAAAGATTGGCGAGGTGAGATCTCGGAAACCGAGCCAGCCCGGTTGACCGGGCTCATATGAAGAGGCCCTGAGATGGATAGTATTTTCTTCCTCCGGAGGGCGCTAATTGGCTGATTCTTGACAGCTTGCCCATGGCGGCACGAACCTGTACCCAACTGTCCTTAACTGATTAATCATTTCATGGTTAAAACATGTCCTGCGAAATTGTGAGAGGTCGCTTATACTTTCAAATGGCTTGCACTCCTGAAAATGATCCATCGCATCACTATTTTAGCATGGACGACGACACGACTTTGGAAGGTAAAAACGTTTACGACGCACTTTACTTTGGTCCTTTGAATCAGGCGGGAATCTATAATTTCTGTTGTCTTGTAGACTCTATGCTTCACTCGATCCCAGCAGAGAAAAAGTCAGTGCTGTATACCACTGACTGTGTGGGACTTTTGGAGGCGAAGAAGCGAGCGCATTCTGTATTTTTATGTGCAACGTTCGCGATATGTCGGCTCAAAATGACCGTCGAAAACATCTACGGATTACTAGGGCAACACTTTCATTATTCAACTCTTGCTCCTTACTTTGATATGGGTGGTAAAATATCTCACAATCTGGACATCTTGGACTGTCTTAAAGCCTTTGAGAAGGCAGTAGCTCAAGGTTTGATCGAATTCGACAAGTTTGACGTACAAAAATACAATCGTGAGGATTCCCGCTATAATTTGAACTGGATCATTCCCAAAAAATTACTCGCAATGGCGGATCCTCAGATGATGCCCGATTTTAGCAAAGTAAGGAAGCATTTAAAGGAAATCGGGGTCAAGGTAGTTGTGAGACTGAACAAGCACGACAACTTACTTAAATACGGGCGAGGGTATGATGCACGCAGTTTTACCAACCACAGATTTAAGCACTACGATCTCTACGTTGAAGACAGTGGTATTCCCCCGGGGGGAATCATTAAGAAATTCATGAGAATTGTGGATGGAAAATGTTGCAAGAAAGTTGCTGTTCATTGTTGCAGACGTTTAGGCAGAACAGGATCTCTGATCAGTTGCTATTTGATGAAAAAGTTCCGATTCTCAGCAAGCAAGGCTGTGGGCTGGTTATGCATTTGTAGACCGGGAAGCGTCCAGAAAATGCGTCAACACCATCTCCTGGAGTTGAAGCAAGATGCAATCATGCGAGGCTGTCGGCCCAGAGAAATGAAGGAAGGAGTTGTAGAAAAACCCTTTGATTTAAAGTCCGTCCACAAGCGCAAGAACTTGTATCCAATTATTGAAGAAAACGAAGTGCAAACATGATTTTCTACTTGACTGTTACAGTCTTTCCTGCAAAACCGTGAACACCAGAGAAATTTTCTGGAAGGTATATTGTTTCGCGAGCAATCAGATGCGAGATGAAACCGCAAAGGTAACCGCCAAACCACAGCATGGATTAGTTACGACTTGACACGAAACAACAAGCTGGCTTTTTGTTCCACGACAATTCTTCATTTTTTCCCGTTTTTTAAATACTGAAATTGTCCTTTTTCTATTTAAGCTTATGTATAAGCAAAGAATATATATGAACGATATTTTAGGGAAAAGCGATGCTGAATCGAGCAGACAGGATCAGACACAGCCAGACAGCGCTTCTGAGAGCAGAAAATTGTACTCTCCTCTCAATTTTTATTTCGGTGTCTAGTGTTTTGAATTATACGGGTAAGTATTTCTGGGTTTTAGCTTTGTTCCTGTTTGAACAAGAAGTAAAAACAGTTTTACATAGTTATCGCCTTACCTTACTTCGGTGCCGGAGCACGTGACATAACGCTTAGCATATTATGAGAATTTCTCCGACTCAAGATGTCATGCAAACAGTTAGCCTATAAAAAGTTGGTGCTGTACGATTCTCAAATTCCACGAGTTGATTTCCTCGGTTCGCAAATTTTATACCCGTTGGAAATATCGAAATTTTTATTTTTCTTGAAATTCAGTTGAGAGTAAAATACTGCCTTCGAATACAAAGTCTGTCACTGCTCCAAAGCGTGAGTTTGGAAGTGAAAGTGAGAGAGTGAGGAGTCAGTGAGGAATTTGACCACAGGCGTGATTCATTACACAATCTCGTGACAGTTTGATAGAATGGCATTTTGTGAGGCTCTGTAACTAATTTGTTTACTTAAATTAAACATGTCCTAGAAATCTTGAGTTTACAGCATTTGAATGTATCAGAAATCACTGTTGCAGAAGTGACCCGTGTGCGACATTCCACGCATCCATCTCCTTCCCTCTCACTGCACCCTCTGTGAGCGATCATTACAGTTTCCTCAACAACACTTAAACACTCTATGGCGTACGAGCGACGAAATTTAGGCTATGAAACGCCTTTTTTAGTCAGACTTATACAGTCCGTCAACGGAGTAATTCTTACATGAACTCGCTGAAAGCTTGATAGAACGGCATCAAATATCGTTACCTAGCAACGGAAGATGCAGTGGGACTTGGGGCCAGATTTGCATTTTCTTTTCTATCTTTTCATTTGCTATCTGCTTGTTAAAATTAGATTTCTTACTAATATCATTCGCAGAAATTCAGCAATCAAAACAGTCACAGAAGTGTTAACGTGACTGAAAAAGTTCGTTTCTTTCATTTGCTCCCACGGGTAACTGTCACATGCAAGCTACCGAGTAATATGCAAATTTAAGGTAATGGCCTGGAATCCCAGCAGGAACAATAGTATCATGGGCAGAGCCAAAACCAGCATTTTAGTTGTCACCATGCCTGTGGACTGGTGCTGTCGAATTCCTGGTTGCAAACAAGCTGGCTTGTATTTTAAGAGACTAGACAAGCATCTAAAGCGGTGCCACCCAGCAAAGAGTAGGCAAGATAATTTTGTGTCATCAGTTAATAGACCAGCAGACCACAACTTAGTTAAAAAACACTGATCGCGAAAGACGCAAGTGTGAAGTGATTGGGTGCCGTTACTATGGCGTTGCGGTTTCACAACTCGACAGACACATGAGAAAGGTCCACAGAACTACAACCAAGGAGCGGGAAAAGAAAGAGTCGATGGCAGAATGTTCGTTTTCTTCTGAAGAAGAAGACTTAGACGACGCAGACAGCTGCCTTTTTGGTGAAATAACAAGAATTGTTAATAACCTATAATGGTTATAAAAAAACGGCACTTTTAAGAGCCACCAAGTCTGAAAAGCTAATGATCAACAATGTCAACATCATACAATACGGCCATCGAAACGAAAGTGAATGAAGTAGCGCAATGAATAAGCCACCACGCTTTCCCGACTGAACCTTATCATACCCGCGCTACTTTCGATGTTAATTTACTAAATGCGTAGATAGTTCCCAGGCGGGAGAAAATGATTCCTCCCACCTTGGGACTATTCGTGCATTTGGTAGTTCATAATTATTTGCTTCTTCAAGATTTTAGTTCTTGTCGCATTAAATTCAATTTTCTTCTTTTCTTGTTATGGAGGGTAAAAAACTCTCCAACTATCCACAAATTTTCTCAGCTTATCGTAGAACAATAATTATCCAAATAATAAAATTATTTCCGCACCCAATCGTACACCCGAGCTAACAAGAATTATGGCAATTACCAGCTTTTATTGACATTTGTGACCCCTGATATAAAGCACACGCAATACAAATCAAAACAATCTCAGCTCACAAGTCAAAACCAAATCGCGGTGAACATTTTCTGTACACGGGATATCTCTACTCTTGAGTAAAATATGAGTATCCGAGTACAGCTTATAACAGGGCACTAAGTAACTACCCCGATAAAGCTTTTTATCATGGCAGTCCTTGTTAACTTAGGCGGATCATTTCTCTGAAAACTTCCTTGACGAAGTTAATTGAACGTTCGATCATCGAACTCAATCGAATCATTTGATTGACCTCGATTGGGTTTGGTAATCGAACATAATCGAACTCACCCAAAAATTTTGGCAATCGAACACAATCGAAGTGGTCAGTGTTATCTCAGGGAAAGACAGCTTACAAGGTTTAATGTGCTGTTCATGTTTTCCAGTATGAATTGTGAATTTATTGATTTTGAATTACTTTAACAATAAAGATTTAAACACAAAGGATAAGCTTTTGGGAGGAGCTTACGGTGAGAGCTAAAGAGCAATAAAAGATATAACTCACTCAACCATCGACATCAAAAACGAATTTTCAAGTATCTCTTCAATCATTTCGGCCAACATGAAATGATTTCCTAAGCTTTTTTGCACAAACATCACCTTCTGCAAAACAAATTATTAGTCTTGATAACGCAAAAACAAAAAAAAACATATACAGCCAAGCGTGTGGCACGCTTCTAAATTAGTTTGCTAATTTGTTCATGACAAAAGCATCAGTCCTTCGAATTAGCCTAAATTCTGTTGAGTACCCTCGAGTTTTCAAACATATTGTCGCGCGTAAAAGTCTCTCACGTGATAATGACTTTAATTCTCCCAAATGATTATCTTGAGTTTCAATTTAGAAAAGATTTGACTTAAGTTCAGATGATTCGCCACTGGTCCAAAAGAATAAAACACAGTTATTCAAAACAAACAAAACACATTTTGAACTGGTAAGTGGCTCGATCACTCATTAAATACACAAACCGATGCTCAGCTTTGACTCTATGTCTACAATATTATGGACGTTTATGATTATACTCGATTATGACAAAACAAATAACCGACTTTTATAACTCTATCTATTGTATAGCTTATTTGTCTTATTTCATTTTAGCGTCCCCTGGCTTCGCGCTCAAACCAAATGAAAGTGAATAGAGAATGACACCAAAGCATCTATTGTTTTCTTTCGTCCTATTCAGGATCCGAATTAAAATAAGTTCGCACATAAGGAGGCGCAACTCATATTATTGAGGGCACTTCTGACACACCGCGAAATTCGCACCTTTTTTGTTTATTGTCTTTTGAGATTCAATCAATTTTTTTGAAAGACTACTATAAATACCAGCTTGTGAGTTTTTCACGTTGCAGTGGTTAGAGATGGCTGAGGGAGCATACGATCCATACGATTTTGATAATGATTACTTTGTTGAAAGTCAAACTCCGAATCTTAGTGATTCTTTCATGGAAATGTTTCGAGAGGACTCGAGTGAAGATGATTTTTCTGGTTTCACGAGTGAGGAGGCTTTCTTTCTTGTACATAGTGAATTGAATGAAAATGTCTGTAAATCTATAGCAAAGATTAGGCCAAAAAAGAATGTCCGTTCAAAGATGGAAAAGTGAGTTTACACTGAGCTCATGTTTATCGGTGAAATGAATATTTGCCTTTTGAATGAAACAAAATCATTCCTCTTCGACTTTTCAGCAGATATTTAACTTTTATATCCCATTGATCTCCAGCAGTGAGTAAAAAATTACACATCTTTTTACATTTTCGTGGAAACAAAGGTATCTTGTTGCATACATTGGCATATTGTATCAAATTACAAACGTGTGAGTGAAAAGTAAAATTGTCACATTTGCTACAAAATGAACGAAACAACATAAAATACCATAATAAATTTAAAACCGTCTTGACAAACGGTAATTGTAAGCTGTCTTTGGGCCTTGAAAGAAAACTCAAACATGAAACACACACTGCTAGGATATGTCTTATCAAGTTTTTGTCCGCTCATATTCTGCAAAGGGGAAAAGGCCCAGTTGACTACCAAGGGAGAGAACGGCATGGGTGAGGACCTGTGTGACTACTGTATCAGAGCCGTAAATTACAGTCTGCACTATCTGAGATTGTCTCACTAGTTAGATAGAGATGAACTAAAAATGGCTTTACGGACCGAAAAGTTTCCGGGGCTTTCGAGAAACGGGTCCCCGGCGTCATATGTAGGTTGAGTTTGTTGTTGGTTCTCTTCTCTGCTC